AACTTGATTCAGAAACATTTTTGGGGTCAACTTCAGGCTATTCTGCTGATATCCTCTAGTACAAGGCTAGTGCATCTTATGATCCCAGTAAGAAAGGCACTCAGACTCCATAAGCTATTGCTTAAAACACCATTTTCTGGAGCTAACCAAATAAAGAGAAAGAATACAGGTAATCTTACACCCCTTCAGGTACTGGGAGCCCTGAACTGTGCAGCATCAGACATACCTCTGCTCAGGGCATGTTGTACAGATCCCATCCATAGAAAGGTTCCCTGACATTTTGGTTTTGAGACCTCTTCTAGAATTTTCTTAGGAAAAAAATATCATATTTGTCATATCTGTTGTCAAACAACCACATGTTTACATGAGAACTTGCTGCTCTTCTTTAAGATAAAGAAAAGGCCACACACGTGGTGTAATTGGCAACATAGTGGGAGCTGCCTGCGAGCTCCTCTGTTACCATCACCCAGCTGAAGAACAAGCTGTACTTGCAGGACAGTGCAGCACAGCACTGGTCTGTGCCTGTGCCAACCTCAGGTTGGCACTCTACAGGGATCACTAACTCTTTGATGCACAATAGTTTTCTCATTAGGATTGTTACAACTCCAAAGAAAAAAAAAAACCTTGCAGCTGTTTGAGGCTTTAGGCTTTGCTTCCCAGGTATGGGCACTGGATGGTGCTCTGTGACCCTTTGGTAGATCCTCAAGGTGAGCTCTGCCTATTATCAGACATGAGACACAGCAGCAAAGGATTGTTACTGAAGAGTCCCTTTATTATCAAGCAATAGGGCAATGGGATTTGCAGACAGGCTATGCTTCAAAGTCAGGGGTGCGGAGTGCATCAGGCTTCTCCCAGCATCAACCACAGCATGCCCAACAAAGCTGCAAGCACAGAGGCAAGTGTTCTCCTGCTGTACAGGGAACAAGATGCTTATGGCTCTGTCTGGGATGTAGGATATGTTGCTGCTTCCCTTCTTTACATAGACACCCTGGGACATCGTCAGATGGTTTCTGTTTTCTATTGCAAGTGGGGGATGAGTATGTGCACAATAACAAGCAAATCTCACATCTCACCTTGCACAGCATTTGCCAAGAACACAGACTGTGTACTGTAACTCTGAACATGTTCGACATCTAGAGAACACCTGCTTTTGAGGGCTGTTCTGGGATCATCATAGCTCTTCTTACATCAGCTTCATGTGGTTGTCTCTGGGTCTTTCTACAGAATGGATTTTCAAGAACATTCTACTTACTAATGTTCTACATTTATTGTCCACCCTCATGCTCACTTTACATTTAGTGTGTTATAGTGTTATGCAGTATAGCAAGAATCAGAAATTCTCTCATAGCACTCCACATAACATAACAGAGTGCTTGATCGATCCTGCAAGCCAAGCAATATGAACCATCCCCACTGACTGATGTTTTTTTCTTCAGGAAAATCACTCATTTCACTTTCCAGTTATATTTCAGCTCTCAGATTTGATAATCTGCTATCATACATGTAATGAGAAAAAGTTATTAATTTAGGCATCTGTTCAGGAAGAAAACTTTAATGCTAAGCCTTGGAGTTAATTGATATTAGTATATTTAAAAATACACAAAAGTTTGTATGAAAGCACAGCCCTAATACACATACAGAAATAATAATTTTGCCCAATATAAAGAAAAAGCAACAAAGGTGGAAATTTCAACATTTGAGGCAAAAACTGCAAAAAGGAGAAAGAACTAAGGAGTTAGGAAAGATTCACAAGACAGACACAGAGCCCTCTAACACTGTCTTTTACCAGAGTCACAAAGGAAGCATCCTTGCCAAGTCAGGAATTGCTGACTTCTCTGTCTTCCTAGAAACCATCAGTTAAGACAGTGGATACTGCAAGCCCTAAGGAGTCCATTCAGAAAGGCTTCAGTTCCTCTCAAGCACATACAGGGAAGCTCAAAAGTAAATGATTAATGGCCCAAAGCTTTATTTGATCTGCAGCTACAATTACAGTAGTGGCTGGCAAAGCTCACTGGCCTCTCTCAGGTACTAATCCATATTGGGCTGTTTCAAAGAGCTCCTGAGAAGTTGGAGCTCGGATAACCTCATTAAAAGCTATCTGAAAGGCATTTCAGTTACATTAATGAACTGTATAACTACTGAGGATACCCATATGATGCTCATATATAAAACTGTGAGTAAGTCATCTGTTGGGTAGCCAAGGTTCTTCAGCTATGTCTAAACGGAATACAAATATGATGGACATTTGGAAATAAAGGATGTTCACTGACTGAAGATGAATTTAGTAAATAAATTCCATCCACACATTTGGCTAGGAGTGACACGTGATCTTTCTATGAATGCAGTTAAATGTTTGATGTATAACTACCAAATTGTAACATTCCTCATAACAAATACCATGTGGAGAGACTGAGCAGTTAGAAAAATAGATTTGGGCAGAGATAAGATTATTTTGATAAGCAGTTTTCAAAAACAGCATTTACCTGTCTGCAAATATGTACTTATATAATGTTTCATCTACCTCAGTATCATACCTAGACACTTTTACTGAAAATTAATAAAAACCGGCTCTGACACTGCCAAATGAAAGAACAGCTGTTATTTTCAGCGCTAACAAAGAACAGCATAACATTTTTAAAATTGTGAAAAATTAAACAGAACCTAAAATTATTCAGTCATGGAGCACTAGGTCTATAAAGACAAGGGATGGCACCACCCCCACTGCCTTCCTGATGCAGTCTCATAATTTCTTTTGTGCTAGACCTACAGTTCATGGAGCTGTCTAGAAAACAAACTCAAAGGACTGACCCTGCCAATAACAACACTACGTTGTTGTCGTTGTTGCAGTTGTTTTACTTTTCAGTGGACTAGGTCCTTAGTTTGTCCCACAAGGACACAAATCCTTGTGCCAGCAGAAGGGTGGGAGCAGCAGTGAGTGGCTGGGAGCAGGAGAGTTCTTGTCCACAGGAGGCTAGACCACGCTGAATGCAAATGGATGTGCAACCAGAGCAGCAGGGACACATACGTTCTTGGGGATCTGAGTCCTAGAACCATCATCTCATAGATGGCCTGAGGCAGTGAGTCTCCTGACTCATTCCCTTATGTTTTATATTTAAACATTTTACTATTCAATATATGATTCCCGTTTTTTTCAGAGCAGATTTTGAAACTATCAACGAGTATTGACTTAAGGTCAGAACAGTGTCAGCTACTTAAGATATAATTTTTTTAACGGATATTTAATTTCAGTGGCTGTCAACTAGCTTTTTTTCAGAAATTCAAACTTGGCATGAAAATATTTAAATAAACGTCCTCAAGTGAAGCATTCCTTTTGCAAACCTGGGGTTCAGAAATTAAAGAATGAGAAGAACACAGAAGTACAGCATAACTTTCTGTCCCCCTGACCTGCATTTACCCACACCTGTAGCTGTGACAGCTTCACTATGCTACCCGCTTACAACCCTGCTGCTGCAAGGACATGAAGCTTCTCCTACCAAAAAGGAAAAAAGTAGTGTGACATGGGCAATGGATTAAACACAAGTAAAGTTCTTCACATACCACTTACCTCCTATAGTAAATTCTTTTTGGGGGGTGGAGGAAGTCACTTAAAAACTAAATATAGGAAAAAATGGGAAGAAAAAACTACAGCCCTTAACACAGGTTGGATCACAAGAACTGCAAAAAGCAATTGTGACATAAGATCCTGCTTGATATATCCAAATTTCAGATAACTCCTACATTTCAAGCACACTGGAGAGCATCTCAAGAAGTACCATCCCTGCTAAGGCATAGTTTTGACTGAAGTTTCTTTAACTTGCTCTTACAGATCTGCAACAAGGGAAATCCCCAAATTTCCCATGCTGTCTCTTCTGGGGCATCAGAATTCTAGTATCTAACCTAAATTTCATACTCAGACTGAGGTTCACTATTAGCTCCTGATTCTTCTTCATGGAGCTGCTCTCTACCTGGCCGTTCCCCATCCTAAATTTCTGCAGCCACTGGCTTTGACCTTGCATTTGTGCTTCAGGAGCACCCTCATCCTCCAGAACATTTTTCTACTTTGTCAAGATCATTTCTGGAATCTAACCTTGATCCCCAGCATAGTCCCAGCCTTCCCAGCACCACAAGCGGTGTTACGCACAAATTCAGCAAGCGTGCTGCCTGTGTCACTATCCACATCACGGGCGGAAAACTTCGACGGCACTGGATAAACCTCTGCGTTTATAAAGCTCTGCATTGCCACAGCTGGCAGCTGAGAACTGCCCAGACATGAAACCGCACAGCCGCGCAGCCAGTTCTGCAACCGGCTGTCCCTTGACTTGGGCTTTATCGAAGTGCCACGGGAGTCAAACGCACGCTTAAGTGAACTAAAATCTCCTTTTTCTTGCTCTTCGTTCATCAAAGAGGGACGTCGAAATTTACAAAGCCGCCGCTGTCGCTTGGACACCCTCCCCTCGCACCCCGCGCGTTCGGCAGCGCAGCCGGCGCGGCCGCGGCTCCGGGTCAGGCCGGGCCGGAGTGCTCTGGCGGCGCCGGGCGGGCGGTGCCTGCGCGGGGCGGGCAGCGCGGCCGCGGCCCCCGCCGGGGTCACCATGACGACCCTCCTGCGCTGGGGCCGGCGGGGCGGCGCGCCGGGGGTTGAGCTGCCAGGCTGCCAACCGGCCGCGGCCAACAGCCGCCGCCTGCAGCCGCCGCATACTTAGGGGTGCCGGCCGGGTGGGCGGTCTCCGCGCCGCAGGGCGGCAGAGCTGCATCCGTGGGCCGGTGGTGAGCGGAGCGGACCGAGCCGGGCAACGCAGTGCAGTGCGGGCTCCCCGGCAGCGGGGCGGACGGGAGGGAGGCAGGCAGACAGGTGTTGCTCGAGGCGCCACCAAATATCTGTGGTGGCTTAGAGGATTTTATTCCCCTCTTACAACTTAATTTCATTTTTGTGGGTTTTTTTTGGTTTTTTTTTTTTTTTTTTTTTTTTCCCTCCGAAAGGTACCGACGTCGGGGCGGCGATGCGTCGTACCGGTGAGAAGAGCCGGGCGGGGCGGCGGGAGCCGTGCCCCGCCGCCCCCCGCAGCATCGGCGGGCGGGCCGTGCTGGGAGTGCTCACGGAGAACCGGCAGCAGCGGCCCGGCGGCCAGGTGAGCCCCACTGCTGGCGGTACAGCCTCCCTGCCTGCCCGCCGAGGGGCCGCCGTCCTCTCCGCGGGCCGGCGTGGGTGAGCTCCCCGTCCCGTCCCGTCCCGTCCCGGTGAGGCCGCGGGGCTCGGGGCCTGCTGCCCGCAGGAGCGGTGCGCGCACTGGCTCTCGAGGCTGCCGGTGAAGGCCTGGGGATGACGGGTTGAGTAGGTGACCCACGCTCCAGTTAGATAGGTGTGAGTTTCCTGAGAAACCCTGCTCAGTCTTAACTTGCAGGCACTTCCCCGCGGAAATACTCTTGAGTAAATAATTCGTCCTGGAAGGAAGGGAGACTGGAGCATTTACCACCTATAGCGTAGCAGGTAGTTTAAGGAAGGGCTGTTCACTGATGCTTGCCCTAAGGTCCCTCTGCTGTGTGCTGGCCATATTCCCTTCAGGGTGCCAGAGCCTTCAAGAAGCTCAAGTTCATGGCAGGTTGTCTGTCTGCCTTTTCTGTTCCTTGGGCCCTCCTGGAGTCTGCTGGTGTGGCAGGGAAAATATTACTGTGCTGACTTACAGGATCTGAAATAGCAGCTGATACCTGTACACAAACTCTTCTTGGTTATGACTGTGTAAAGCCCCTAACTCTGTGGCTTACAGGTAGTAGACAATGTGAAGGACTGCAGCCTGTGGTCTTAGGGGTTGCAATGCTTAAGCTCAGAAGTTCAAACTTCAGTTTTTCAATTCCACCTGAAGTGCCTTCTTGCAAGTGAACTTCAGAAGTCTGTGGCGATGCCTAAGCACTTCTGTTATGTTAACATGCTGTACTTGTAGCTACTCCTTGCAAGAATTGAATGTGGAGCAGGCTCTGCACTTTCCAGCCCCATTAGAACCAAGCAGCACCCTTATTCTCTTTGCTATTAGGCACTGAATGTGGGGCTGCTTCTTCCCCTGTCCCCTAGCCCCATTCCTAATTTGCACTACATCTCACCCCTTCTGTGAGGAATCTGTCATAGCATGACAGCAACAGGTGGTACTTCAAAGCACCAGTTGTAGCTGGTGGCTTTTTCCATGAACTTTTATGTTACTGGTGTCTGTTAGGCAAGGAAAGTGGTTTTCTTTTGGAAAAAAAGTGGCACTTGTGGTTTTCTCCCTGAGTTGCTCTTCTCATATGTTCAGCATATATTGTGTGCTCTGCTTCAGGGTGCTGCTGTTACCAAACACTTCCCTGGCTCTGAAAACATCATCCCTTCATCTGAAAAAGATGAAGTGCCCAACTGCTTGTTCAATGCTGCATCGAAGCAAGGGTTTGCTATCTACATAGATGATCTAGAAGATAAAGAAAACTACAGCTACCAAATGTCTGAAGAGCTGGAATCAAGCCAGTGTGACCTGGATACTAGTGCAATGACATCCAGTATTCACCTGCTGCTGGATCTGAGTTCAGGTAACCCCTGGTGCTACTCAGATGGTATCCATAGCACAACCACATGTAGGGTGGCTATGAACTGTGAGGCTGGTAAACTAGTGAGTAGCTTATGTTACATAAATAACACTTCAAGATAACTTTATTTGTGTCTACATGAGGCACAACACTTCTGAGCTAAAAATACCAGGAGGAGGTGAAGGAAGAGGTTAATTAACACAAATGTCTTGCTGCTTCCTGGTACCTGTTAGGATCTCCTATGGTAGTGGACACATCCTTCCAGTCCCAACCTGAGGATCACATGGAAGATGTCATAACTCTGACTGTGGAAGAGTATGCAGAAGACATCCATCAGTACCTCCGAGAGGCTGAAGTGAGTGGCTTGTAAGAATCTTACAGGTATTTGTGGTCCCTGTGATGGGCTACACTATTGCAAAGATGTGTGGCTGCCCCAGGATAACCCAAGGCTGCCACTGAACTACAAAGGAGAGAAAGCAAATAGTAAAAGTCATCTCTGAAGGCAGCATATAGTCAGTGATAAGATCTTTCAGGATTATTGTATTCCTGAAGTTTCCTATGATTGGAGCATCTCTTGACTCTTTGGGATGAAGAATTCTTGCAAATGAGAATAGAATGCTGAAAACATACTAAAGCAGTTTGATATGATCCCACTGACAGCTGTCTTGCTGTAGAAGCAGTTTTTCGTACCTTTGTGTCAGAGTAGTGAAGTGCAGTCTACTAGTAGGAAGAGGGGGAAAAATGTGAGTTGTTCATTTTTAGGTCCTTCTGAATGACTTAATTGTTTGATGGCAAAGGCTCTCTGTAGTCCAGGAAGTCTTTTACTGTTCTGCTGCTAATATAGTAGCTTCTATCTCTTCAGTGTAGAAATACTACTTTGTAGAGATGCCACTAGCTGGTCATTAATACAACTAGCACTATAATTGTACTTAGTAGTAATAACTTTTAACAGTGGAACAACTGCTGCTTCTTTTAGTGTAAGTATAAAGAATGTTAACCAGCTCAGAAATCCGTGGTTCTCTTTGGGGTGAGCATCCTGATTCTTCAACTCTTTCCAAACAGGTAAGATTCAGGCCCAAGCCCTATTACATGAAGAAGCAGCCAGATATCACAACAGGAATGCGTGCCATCTTGGTAGACTGGCTGGTGGAAGTAGGGGAAGAGTATAAACTTCGGACAGAGACTTTGTACTTGGCGGTGAACTTCCTGGACAGGTTTCTTTCCTGCATGTCTGTTCTTAGAGGGAAGCTGCAGCTTGTAGGAACAGCAGCAATTCTTCTGGCTGCGTAAGTGTTTCATCTCCTGAAATCTTGGTGAGGTAAAACTTAATTTTGGACCTAGTCTCATAGAAAAGGAAGGAAAGAAGCTTGCATTAGTAGGTAGTTTCTCATGATGTCTCAAGATTAGCAAGTCTGACTACTTTGGCACTAGCAAAATTAAAGATTTAATGTTTGATGTGAGGAACTGTAGTGGGGAAACTTAGTAACCATAACAGCAGGAGTGAAAACACTACTGTGTTAGGCTCCTAGCCTGTAGGGCTGCCATAGATTCACAGTTGCAATCTGCAATTAGCCTTCAATTGCTTTAAGTTGACAGGGTAAGCAACATAGCTTAGTGCATGAGTTTTTGTCTGGAGTGCGTTGTGTTACTGAGAATTTCCTACTGAAAGCTTGCTATTTCTCAAGAGCTAATGTAACTGTGTTTCTATCTAGACTGATGACTTGGAGTTCCTCTAAGCATATTTGCCCAAATTTGAAGCTAAATTGTTAGTTAGCCTGGAGAAACAATTAAAATTAGAGTTCTACACAAGTCTTTGTAATGTCATATGGTCATCCTGATATAGGTCCAGCAGAAAGCTTTCTTTTGCTATAAATTTCAAGCTTACAAATGTGACTTCTATATCCCTTTTTCAGGAAGTATGAAGAGATCTACCCACCAGAAGTGGATGAATTTGTCTATATAACAGATGATACCTACACAAAGAAGCAGTTGCTAAGAATGGAGCACCTGCTTCTCAAAGTGCTAGGTTTTGACCTAACAGCCCCAACCATCAACCAATTCCTCCTTCAGTATATTCAGAGGCGTGGAGTCTGTATGAGGACAGAGAACTTTGCAAGGGTAAGAACTTTTGGGACTGAGGGGGAAGAAGTGATCCTTAAAGGAGCTGCAACAGGTCTAAAAAGTGGATGTTTTGTGGCTTGTTGTGGTGAGATATTTGGATAAATGTCTCATGGAAGTCCTCAGTTTGGCCTATCTGTCTGGACAGGCAGTTATGTGGTACAGTTCTGGTTGTTTTTTCAACAGTACCTGTGTAGCAAGTCTATCCTGGATTTGGTGCTACTGCATATTGCTACACAATGACACAGAATATGCCTGCATAGCTGTGTAGGACTTGCATGGAGTAGGCAACCCTGCTTAGAAACAGCAGGCTTACAGTAAAACACCTGACCTGTTGCTTCTCTGTAAAGGGTACAGGGATGTACTGTGACTCTATTTCATCAGAGCCCAAATTTTGCTTCTTAGAGCTGTCCATATATCTCTGATCTCCAAGTGGGATCAACCTATGTAAATGAGCCTTAGAGGATAGCATGTGTCTTTGTTATTTTTACAAAACTCGAATTTTCTATCTGTAAAACTATGTCGGAGCTGACGATGGGACCAGAAATTCAGAGGACTGTAGATTTTTTTTCATGCTTTGGCAAAACTTGGTCTTTCTGTCCCCCCTGAAACATGCTAGAGGATCTTCTGTAAGATCAAGAGGACTAGAATGCTAGTTCTTCTCACTAGACATGTTACTCATGTTTTTTTACATGATACTGAGACCACTGCCAAACTTTAGTGCTTGCTGTATTGGACTGATTGTACAAGCTATGCTCATTCTTTTTGAAAAACTTAAAGTTTTCTTGTTCAGTATCTTGCAGAGCTGAGTCTTCTTCAAGCTGATCCTTTTCTGAAGTACCTTCCTTCACAAATTGCTGCAGCAGCCTACTGTCTAGCAAACTATACAGTGAACAGATCTTTCTGGGTAAGAACAACTGTATGTTATGTTAATAACTAGATCAAGTACTTTGTTATTTTGTGTTTCATTAGAACTGAGCTGAGAAGTAGGAGGAGTAGCTGCAAAATACATTGTTATAAAGACTGAAATCCTAGGATGACTAGCTGCGCCCTAGTTGATGGAACTACCTGATAAGTTAAGTAAACCTGAAATATCATGCCTCTTCACTGAAATGAGAGGGACTTTGTTGTTTTGCTTATTTACATCAAGCCTGTACGTCTGGCCTTGCTAATCTCCAAAACTCCTTCCCCAGAGAGAACACAGGGGCTTTCTGGGAGGTAGGGGAGAACTGAATGTGTCTATGTGAGTAATTACCCTGAGTGGCTGCTTTAAGACAAGTCTTGATAGGTCTTTCAGCTCTGTGTTGGAGGAATAGCTTCAGAAGAGAGCAGGATCCAGAAGAGATGTAATGGATGCCACATACTTAGAGCAGAAGGAGCTTGTCAGATCTCATGGCAACAAGGAAGACCTAGAGTGAAGCTGATGGCAGAATACACTTGAATCTTCTTCATGCTTAAAGAATTTAGAGCAAGCACTGATGTAGTGAAAATGGTTTCTGCTTCTATAGGAAATGCATCTTCTAGATGACTAACTGCAATAGAGTAACACTTTTTTTTTTTTCTCTCATCTGACAAGCCGGAAACACTTGCTGCATTCACCGGGTATTCATTAAGTGAGATAGTGCCTTGCCTGAGTGATCTGCATAAAGCATGCCTTGATGCTCGCCATTGCCAGCTGCAAGCTATTAAGCAGAAGTATAAGCACACTAAGTAAGTAACCACTAAGCCAGTGTTCTTTAACTTGTAGGCTATAAGCACCGGATGGCTCTGGTTTATCAGCTTGGGCTGCAGCTGTTGTAGCTCACAAACTTTGCGTAGTGGTCAGCTTCTAGTTCTGAAACAGAAGCCTCTGTCAGCCTCTTGAGGAAAAAACTTTTCTAACCAGAAAAGTAACTAATCCATGAATACACAGATGCACTGGATAACAATTCTTTCTGTGCTATTGCAGGATGGTTCTCTCTTCTCCAGTGTATTGCATAAGCAGGTGATAACTTTAGATTTGCCAGCTAAGCTAATATCTGTAGTAACTGTATTTCTATTCCAGGTACCTGCAGGTGTCTCTTCTGGAGCTCCCAGCAGTTCTTCCTCTACAGTAGAGACTGGATTCTGGACCTGAAGATTACATTGCCCAATCAACAAAGCTGGTCTAACATTTCATAGAGCACTGCAGGTCATGTGTCTGTAACCATAGTGATCTGAATGGTTTTAAGCTTATATTTTTTAATGAGATACCTTTTTTAAAGAGGATATTAGACTATAGCTCTTAACATAACTGATAGCACTTTTAATAAATCAATAAATAAATATTAAACTCTACTTCTGTGAAGCTTCTGACTCCAAAAAATATTTGCAGTAATAGTAAGTGGAATAAATTGTGGGGTGTTTTTCTGTGTTGTTTGCAGTGTTTTTGTTGAGGTTTTGTTTGGTTGTTTGTTTGTTTGTTGGGTTTTTTTACAAAATTACTGTAAGCAGAATTTATAAGCTGGCTGGAGTGGATAAAGCATAGCTTGAACAAACACAACCTGACATTTTCATAGACACAGGTTATTTGCTGCAGTCTTCTTTGTTTCCTCCTCTTCTATGAGACAAGATCACATAGCCATGAACAGAAGCTATTTTCTGCAACTTTTTTACCATATCGGACTGAAAACATCCACTATGAACTCAGAACATATTTATACCAGATCATCAATTTTGAGGTAAAAGTCAGACTTCCCTTTATTGAGGCAAAATAGGGGGAGTGCTCTGCAAGGAGCTAGAGGAAGGGAGACTGGCTGGCAGAGCTTTAGGAACACTTCAAACACTGGTGGACAGACTGCAGTAGAGAGCAATGTTAAAAGCTGTGAGGTACTGGGACAATGGAATTGAGCTACATGGCTCCTGAGTTATACTTGTGGCATGGAGTAGTCTTACAGCATAGCTGTCTGAGATGACCATTTATGCCACTAGAGCACTGCTAAATTTGTGAAGGGAGGGTGAACTATTAACTATCTTAGCCTGAGCTGTTACACTGTCTTGTGTCCCGCTGTCAGTTATTTGTTAGGTAATGTTTAAAAAAAAAAAACCAACAAAACAGAGTACACCCAAAACAAAAAACCCCACACTACCTTGTGTCCTATTAAGCATATAGTACCTGTCCAAAGTATTTAAAAAATCAATCAGTTGGTCACATTGGCTAACATTTTAGAGAACTATAATCCAGTCATCTAAATGGCAAGGTAGGTCTGAGGCATTCATTGACTGCAAGAGCTTAAAAATTTCTGTGCTTACTGCTTCCTAAGAGCCACCTGTACAGTGTTTCCCAGCAAGAATAGGCTTAATGCTTGACATCAATACTCAGTTCAGCAGACATACTAAGTATGAACTAAAAAGCCTCTTACTTTGATTTAAAAACCTGATTATACCAGTGTGTGTCATGACACTCTTAGCTTCAGGGGTTTCACTTCTGTTAGTGTGTGTAAGTCTTTCTTCCTCTTACTTTCTCCCTGTGCAGGCTCGTGAATCCCCCTAGTAATGCAAACCCTTGTATTCCACCAAAGTGGAGATATTGGTTATGAGAGATTTACTTGTCTCAAAGTAAATATCCTTTAAGGGAGAGGAGCATTCCATTTCAGTCTGCTATAGTCTCTTGCTTCAAACATCTTCCAGTCAAGTAAATGAATCTTTCTTGATATTTACTGATGACAGAAGTGACAAGATATCCCGTGTTCATGTCTGCTGTATCCACTTTGTGGTGGGGGCCTAGATCCATATATTGTGTCCATGCAATGAATTTCATGGCTTGTAGATGTATGTCTTAAAGATGGGCTACAAACTTCACTCAATACCTGCAGCCAACTTCTTTACTGTGTCTCAGTACAAAGCTCTGAGTCAGTGGTGCCTAATTACACCAGACTGTGGTGAATTTCTTGGTTGCCTGTTTCACAGGGAAATGGTAGTGTACTGGGCAAGAGTCTTGCTAAATCTACGCAGATTGAGTACCAGCTTGTTTATGGGGCTTTAGGCTGAACACAAGGTGTCTTGAAACCTCATGTTAATAAGACTTACTCTACTTGTAAGAATGCTTGCTGAATTGCAATTACTGTAGTGCTGGGTATTTTTGAAGCAGTAATAAACATCTCAAGTACAGGACTGTTTTCCTAGTATTATAGCAGCTTGCAAGTATTTATATGGTCATGGTACAACAGTAATGGGGAAGAGATGAGTTTTGTTCTTATGAACAGCCTATAACCACAGCCATGTGTCATGTTCCTGAGCCAACAGATTTGGTGTATCTAACAAAGTAGGAGGTGTCTGGGTCTGAATTTACTAAATGTTTTAATATGTGGACTCTTCCTACAATCCTAACTTCGTTCTGTTTTACTTTCTTAGGTTTTACTTACAGCTGCAAGACATTACAATAGTTGCACTTAACCTTTTTGGAGCTTCAGTTCTTTGGTATGCAAATGTGCCTGGTTTTAGTTTGTGGTTTGGTTTTTTTTTTTGTTTTGTTTTGTTTTTGTTGTTGTTGTTGTTTTTGTTTTTAAGCTATAATATAAGAAGACTGTGCTTCATCTGTGCTCTTGGTTTGTAACTATTTTTCAGCTCAGCTTTTGACTTAAGTATTTATTCAGTCCAAAAGCTAAAAGGGGAAAATGAAAAAATACTGAGTAGTTACAGTGAAGAATCACATAATACTGCAATGTGAATGCTAATAATGAGTTTAGGCAAGATGGATTAAATTTGAAATTGTCAGACACTAGAAACTGATCTTGAAGTGGTCTCATCTGAGATGTATAATAATGACATTTTGAATGTTCCTGCTCTATTCTCACTTCCTTTTGTTGGATTTGTCTTATTCAGAGCAAGGAAAAAAGTCTTACTGCTCCTGTATGAGTAAGCCTTGACTCTTTCAAGGTGAAAACTGAGTGCCAGCTCCTCTCTCATTCAGTGTGAATTATCACACTTAACTTTGACCTCCCCCTCATGTGGGCTGTTCTCTGCAGATGATAACCTGAGATCAAGGGACAAGAGATGCTCCAGTTGGGCATGATGTGGTAACAAAGATGAAATAATGCTGTTTTAATAAGATGAAATGTTTGAATGCAGATGCAAAAACACTTGAGTACTAAAAGATGTACTGAAAATCGGGTATATGAGAATATGGATTTATAAGGAGGGAGACGAAAGCAACCCAAAATGAAGCTTTAAGTTTTCATTGATGTAGTGCCTGTGCTATACTGAAAAACTAGGAGATATAAAGCTCACAGCTTTGTGCAATGTTTGAAACATCACTAGACTTCTTGAAGACAGCCGTATCCTGGAAAAAAAATAAAGGGGAGTCAGTGTTAAAGCCTAAACAGAGGTAGTTTCCATTTTTGACCATCCTGCTTAATGGCTTGTAGACCACAAATAAGGCCTCATGGTTTTTTGTTCAGTTTGCAGTTTTGGAAGTGTCAAGGATAATCATGTTCAGTTAACTGTTGTGAAGATCAGTCTCTGAATGTCAGAATATGTATTTCAAAGGCTAAATATTGACTTCCTCACAGGTCACAGCATCTTCCCCCATTTAATGTGTACTGGGATGATATGCCAGGAGTAAAACCTACTGGTGGGACAGCAGGTTGAGCATATCCAAGGAGCTCAGTACTTAGTGGAGTAGGTTGGAGCTGAGTGGTGTTGAGGATTTTAACTTTGACCCATGATGCTCAATTCAAGAAATCTTTAATGGTATTAAAACAAACCACTCCCTAATCTTATTCTAGCAGTTTCTGTATTATAATGGTGTGACTTTCAAGAGACCCAAATGTGCTGTGGTTGTATGATCCTGTTTTTAATGTGTTGCAGTTGACTTTTTTTATCAGTAATTTCTAACGTTAAATATTGTAACTGTCTCTGAGAAAGCTGTTCTTTGTAGCTGGGCATGTATTGTGAATCCATTTTCCCTTTACAATTAAAAGAGATGAACAGAACTCTATGGTAAGGTATTCATTTCAACACTATGGTCTGCCTTTGTTTTCCTCTTCTCTGGTGTGAGTTAAGGATGTCTGAGGACTAATTGGGTTGTTAAAATGCTTTAACTGTGTTCAGAACAGTTAAGCTGTTGATTAGTGCTTGAATGTTGTTTGCCTTGCTGGGAGATCTGGCTGCGTGATTAGTCTTCATGCATACCTGCTTGTTGTCAGTTCTGCAAATGACTGAAATTGGCTCTGATTGCTGAGGTTGGTACTTATTTTAGCCAGTGACCTTGAAGCAGCTTATGGGGCTGCTCTTAAGGATGAGAAAAAGCCAGCAACATCAGCAATTGCTTCCTGGAATTAAGCTTTTTATCTTGCAATTTTCCTCAGCACCTGCTTCCCCAGATTAAGATCATCTTCATATACTGAAGAGCTATGCAGACTGTGCTAGGGAGGTGTGACTTGGCAGAGGTACAGACCCATCCCCTGCCACTCAGATGTTCTAGACCCCTGTCAAGCTGAATCTTATGAAGTTTAAGTCCTCTACTAGTTATAGAGGATGTATGTATTTTCCTACTGCATCAGACAAGAGTCATACTGAATACTTAATTATTTTTAGTCGTTTGTTACCTGTTTCATAGCTTTTCTCTTACATGGTAATCTCACACTTTCTCCTGGATGCTCTTGGATGTTCAGATTGAACATCCAATAGAAAAAAATACTAAGCTTTGCATGATATGTCCATAATGATAATTCATGTCAACAAGTTTATGGAGTACGTGCACTTTGTCTGATGTTCCTGCGGAGACGTAGAGAAACAGATGTAGAGAAACTTTGATAAGTATACCTAATACAGCCAGTCACAAATCTGCTGTGTGCTCCTTGTGGTTTGCCACTGTAGATGGCAACTGTGCAAACACTGAAGAGAATTAGCACAGACAAACCTACAGGACAGTCTACAGAAAGGTACTGGGCATATGACACAATTAATCCTAAAGTACATGCCTGCCTACATCAGATTAACTTGTGTCTAGGCCAAGACAAGAAAGACCAGGTAGTCCTGACCCTAATCTTCCTGGAGGTGGTAAAATAATGGCTCTGTCCTGGTGTTTTGTACAGTGCTTGTCTTGTTAGGCTGTGCTGCCAGTGAAAAATAATGGTGGACTGAGCAAGGGCTGGTTCATTGCCAAATGTCTGTCTCCATTTGGCTTGTTTCCAGGATTCTTAGGGCTAGCTTGTTTTTTAAGTAGATTTGTTTTGGAGAGAGGTTCTTGGAGCAGGACAAAATAGTCAGTGTGAACTAACAGGCTGTGTGGCTAGCTGTGCTTAGAGCTCAGGCTTGCTGTCTGCCCCTTTTTTTTGTCTTAGCAATGTGTCCAGAATGACCAAGTGTCCCTGCCATAAATAGCAGTAAATACCGAGTTAAACCATAAGGAAGTCCTCAGTCCTTGTTTTTCAGATATTCAGACCCTCTTTATATGAACACAGAAGAGCATCACAGGAGCCAAGTGCTGAAAGAACAGGCTCATAATGAAACATTGAGTTCTGGCAAGAAATAGTCTCCCTGCACCATCTGCAGCTAAGCTGCCTTTTCTACTTGTTTATTATTGTTTGTGTTTTGATGGGTAAATAACATGAAAAAGTAAGAAAGAGAACCCTAGACCCCACAGTGTTCAACAGATTAGGCATTTGGTACTATTCAGTGAGCTGCTTACAATAGAATATTGTCAACTCCATCCCTGTTTAGGCAGAAACTGAAGGGACGTGTATCTCAAAACAGAATCATCCCCATTTGGCAATTTTTTTTTTCCTCTCATAAGGAGGATAGAAATAACTTGGAATTAACAAAATGGATGGCAAAACAAATTGCAGATGAGCTGCAACATCAGTGCAGATACTGAGATGGCAGAACCAGGTTCCCTTTGGATCACATTTGCATAGCACGTGTTTTCAAACAGCGTATCTATCCTAGTGCCGTAATGTACTGTCACCTCTGGTTATGAAGAGGAACAGTGTCGGGTTCAGCCATGCAGGAAAAGACCTTGTGCTTTTTGTTGTGTTAAACCAGAAGCAAAGAGCTGATTGATTCATAGAAATAACTGCCGGCGACGCTGTATTCTGATGGTCTCCGAAGGACAGGACCAGAAGAGGGCACCAGTGTCCTTGGTCCGGGGTTTAAAGGGAAATCCAACTTTAGCCTTTCCCGAAGTGTGCTGGGTCAGAGCCCAGAAGGCTATTTGACTCTTTTTACATGTTTTTGGGTAGCAATATGCGCGATCACTGCAATAATACAGTTTTATTCAATTAATTTTTTATTAGATGTAACCAGATTTAGCCAAGCTGTAATGTAAGATTTTCAGCCATGCTGCCTAGCTCTCACACATGGTTCTCCAGGGATACTTGTGGAAAATAAATTATCTCTTCAGAACACCTGTAGTCTTGTACTGTCAAGTTAAACTCGTGCAAAGAATCAATCAAGCACTTTCAGTGAGATCTTCTTCCTGGCTATAAAAATCAGGCTAACTGATATTAACTTAAAACTTGTTTCAGACAGGATAAAAATATGATGGAAGCTGCTAATGGTCATGAAATAAGTGTTCTGTTCATGTCTGATGGAGGAGCATCTCTTTATATTCCAGACTGGATAGGTGAAACCCTTGTAATATTACAGAGCTTGTATGGTTTGTGCAAGAAAGAGGGGAATTCCTGCCAGATGTCTCCCCCGTTTGGAGGAAGGAGGGGGAAAAAAAATCAATTACAATTTTTAAGTTAGTGTGTTTCTCTTGCTCACTGAAAACTCCAGTGTTAATTCTTGTTTCAAGGTAATCTAGTTACATGGAGAATTTTTATGTATGACAGTTATTGTCCAGTTTGTAGTACTTATGTGTCATTTTTTAAAATCTTCCTTGTCCTGTCCTAACTTGAATTGAGTTTTGCTTTCACAAGCTTCTCAGCCCTTCGAGTTTATACTTTTCGTTTTCTACAGCTATTTCTGAAATATATTTTCTCTCAGTTTTAACCTGTAAACAGAAGGCAGGAGGTGCACTGGAGAGTCAGTGGAAAACTGCTATCCAGAACTGTCATCTGTGTGCTGCAGCAGTGTCTAACACTTCAATGAAAAATTTGTCAGTAAAGCATGTTTTGAGTCAAAGGGAAATGTTTCCTCTGTGGACAGTTATGTTTCTGAGCTGTGAGTAAGCTTGGGTTCCTTAGGCTTTTTATGCTTTTGCAGATATTTATACAGATGTATTTTAAGACAGTTGCTGAACCTGTAGTCAGATGCATGGGTTGCCTGAGGCACTCTGTTGGACATAGGCTAGAGGAAAACAAATGTTTTGTTCTGGCTAACAGTAGCAACTTCTGGGTGGTGTTACTGTCTCTGAATAAAAGAGGTACCAGGGAGAGCAGAGTGTGTTTACATCATACAGGCATGTCTTCAGTAGGCACTTGAGCACCCATGAACAAATGCAATTTTCTGCATATGCCTGTGCATCCACTAGTTGGACATTGTATTCCTTCCTCTCTCTCTTTTCTTGTCATTTGGTGACTGCTCACAAGTTTCAAATGATGTGGAAGAATGATGTGGCTCTGCAGAGGCTCCTTTGCCAGCACGGTAACACTGTGCAGGGCTCCTGGCCCAGAGCCAGCAAGTAATAAATCTGCCATCATACAGGACTGGCACACTAGTGCTGAACAGAGCACAGCCAGTTTTAAAAGTATGTTCCTGCACCAGGTCTTAAACATGAAGCTGGCTCCAAATCTTTTTTTACCTACTTATCTTGTATCACCTGGTGAAAAAGATAAGCCCGGCAGGGAGTAAACAGACTCTGATGGTTCTATTTTTTTCAGCAAGTAGTCAGTGCAGAAAGCTCTGCTGCAGGTTGCCAGATTGTGCATCACAAAACTGTGCTTTCTGTAAATGGCTTCTTGTCTTAGTCGATGGGCTTTAGGCCACCATGAAGCCCGTAGTATAACCATAGCTGGTGTTCCCAGATCACTGAGCTGGGCGGTGTGTAAGCAATGTACGAGTAGGTTCTGCTGTTGAATATTGTTCTCTGGGCCAATTCAGGGGTTACTGTCTGGGAACTGCTGATCTCTGTAACTTCTACTTGTGTTAAAGCAAATGCTGACTTGACTTAACTGGGGAAAAGTCCTTTATTTTATTGTCAGATGAAACTTCTAGAACCTTTCATAGCTATCTTGTAAAGAGAAAAGCATTTTTTAAAAAGCAAAACAACAACTCAAACAAAAAATCCAACATCCACCAAACTTAGATTCACTAATCAAAGCATCATAAACACTACATTGTCAGTCTTGTATCAATACTGTACGGAATTCTCTCAGGCTGAACACAATATTAATGAAAATTTGGTCTTTTCTCCATCTGGAGAAGAGAAACTTGTGAGTGCTTTGGGATAGGAAAAGCCTCCACGAGGCTGGCTAGTACATTGGAAAAATAACATTTTAGAATATTTGGTGTTTTTCTTGTATGGTGTGACATGAGTGATCATCCTACAGATGCTCAAGGAGATTCTGGGAATTTCTTTACGCTAACTCATATTAAAGATACTGAAAAATTCAAGATTAACAGTAAGTTTAATAGTATAAAATTCAATGTAACATTACAGCTAAAAGAGAAGCTCATCACAATATGAAATGTAATGAATCTATCTGCCTTTAATCTACAAGTGACTTCACTAAAGGATTAAAGGCTATCACTAGATTTTTATTTACCAACCTTCTTGACTGCAACTATCTTGAACTATTGAAATCTTCTGTTGAATGTCACACAGTCTTTAAATGGGGCCTGCATTTCATGATCAGAGTGTCAGATAGGAAAATATTTTATGAATACTTTTACTATACTCTGCATCCAGGGGTGGTGTTGCAAATTACTTGTGATCCAGAACCCTGAATTTTTTGATAAACAGCTTG